CGCACGCCCCCGCCCGGCCGCCCGCCCCGCTCACCGCCGGCCGGCCCGCCTCCTGCTCGGGCGCGTCGAGGCCCCTCTGCCGGCCGCCGCGACGCGGGCTCGCGCTGCCCGGTCGCCCTCGCCCGTCCCCTCAAAAAATTAATCACCAAAAAATAATTCCAGAGAAAAATGGAGAGTAAAATCCAAGATGGCGGCGCGGACGCAGCACCGCCCGCTCCCTCCGCTGAGGGAAAAAGGAGTCCCGCGGCCGAGCCCCCGCCCCCACCCGGCCGCCGCCGCCGCCGCCGAGCCGGCCCCGGCCCGCCGCCCCCCCCCCCGCCCCCGCCCCCGCCCCGGCCCGCCGCTCCCACCCCCGCCCCCGCCCCCGGCCCGCCGCTCCAGCCTCACCTCAGCCTCACGCGCGGCCGCCGGCTCCGAAAGGCATCCGTCGGCTTCGGGGTTCCGCGTTCTCGCGCCGCGCGGTGCCGCCTCCAGCGACGGGGCGTCCTCACCTCATAGCCCCGGAGCCGCGCCGCAGCCGCGCCGCCGCCCCCGGTGAGCCACCCGGACACCGCCCGGGCCCGGTGGAAGGACACAAAAAGGAGTCCGCGGCGACGGCGGAGGGACACCACGCCAGCTGCGGCCCCTCGAGCGTGCGCGTCCCTGTCCGACGCGGAATCCTTGCCACGGGCCCTTAGGGGGAGGCGGAGGGCGCCCGAGGGAAACGAGTTCCTCGCCGGCAGCTCCCGGCGGCGGAGGCACCGGAGAGATTTCCGAGCGAACGGGCCGCGTCGTTGCCGTCACTGCGCCTCGCGGCGGAGGAATCGGGCCGAGCGTGGCGCACGGGAATCCCTCCGCCCGCTGCCCTTTAAATCGCGGCGGAGGCGGCGTCGCTGCGCGCCCGCGGGCGCCACCTAGCTCGCGAGCGCCCGGCCTGAGCCGCCCCGCGGGGCCCCTCGCCCGCCCCTGGCCCTCGCGCACCTGCACCTACCAGGGACAGCTCCCGAGCCGGGACTGAGGGGCAGCCCGGAGGCCGGGGACGCTCCTCGCCGCTGCGCCGCCTGGGTGCGCTGAGGGGAGGCGGCCCCGGGATGGCGAGTTTCTTTGTTGTGGGAATGGGTGTCGCTGGGAGCAGATACACCCTTAAAGACCATGTGGGCAGCCGGAGCATTACAACACGGGAGGAGGGAGGGAGCGGGCATTGGTCGGGCCGCTCGGCGCTGTCAGCCGGCCGTTTCTTGAGCACCTACTGGGTGCCAGCCTTTTCGCGACTCCATGGCATTTCCACCCCTTTCCCTTCTGGGAGTCGATGAGCACCAGAAGGGCGTTGGGGTCCTGCAGGAACTCAGGCGGTGCCCGAAGATGTGTCTAGCGCCCGCACCGGGGTAGGGCGAAGCCCCGCCTCTTGGATCCTGCAGTCAGATAATAAAGGGTACAAAATAACAATAACGAGGGTAGCGAGTATTCGGACCTCACGGGCGCGGTTCCCCAGGCTCCGATGCACGATCTCGTTTGTCTCCTTAGAACCACCGCAGGGGTGGGGAGTGTTGTCCTTCCCAGTTTACACATAGGGAAATCGAGGCACTGAGTGGTTAGGTGGCCTCAGGACAACTAGTCAGGGCTTGAGGAGGGCTTGATCTTGATGAAAAATATGCAAACATCAAATAAATTCGAGAGCGTGCGTTAAGGGCCAGAAGTTGAAGTTGCCAGAGGCATGCGGACTGGAGACCTGAAGGGTGGATTGGAGTGTGTTAGGGAAAGCGCCCGTAAGTAAGGAGATGTGTGACCCACGGGCTAGATGAGCACAAAGAGCTGCAGGGAAAAGGGCTGCAGTTTCCGCCCTAAGGAGGAGGAGGATGGGGTGGGTGGCTGAGACAGTTCCAGGAAGAACCCCAGCCTGCCATGGTTTCCCTGCACGCCCCTCCCCCAAGCCCTGGGGCCTGGCACAGTGGGCACTCTGTAAAGGACCAGTCAATGGAGTGTCTCGGTGGCCTCCACAAGGCAGCCCTGCAGTCCAGCTGGATTAACCCCGGTTTCCCTCCTCCTTGATCTTGGGTGGCAGACGTGATGCTTGTTACCCCATCCACATATGGGAAACTGTGGCACAGTGACCTGCTGAAGGCACAGGCTAACAGGAGAAGCCAGGCCTAGATTATGTTCCTCCCTCAGCCATGGGGTAGGGTAGGGGCAGAGCCTGCCCTGCCTCAGGCCTGTGGCAGTGTGCTTCCTGCTCTTCCACCCTAAAAGCTGTTGGTCACTGTGGCACTGGAGTCCGTCTTGCCATGTGCCTCTCTGCACACACAGATGATAAATGATTGCTTTGGTCTTAATAGTTTCTGGATTATCATTAAACTTTCCAAGACTTTCATAGAACTTGGCTCCACATACTCAGCTGGTATCCTAGAGACAATGAGGCTGTCCCTGCCACCGCCTCCACTGCCTGGCAGGTGGAGTGCACATGAGAGATACCACCTGCCTCCACTGGGTGCTGGTGGTCCTTTGTCTACCTGCCAGTGTCTTGGCCCCACGTCCAACCACACCTTTGCAGCCTTATCAAGCCTGTCCAAGTTTTCCAGGGCCCACCCCAACACAGCAGTGCACACACCCTTCAGACTGACCCAAACCGCCAGCTCTGTAAAGCCCCCAGACTCACTGGCACCTCCGCTGAATCCCTGATGAGTCCAGGCCAAGCATTGCTTTGCAAGAGAGCAGGTTGGGCCACCCTGCAGATGACCCACCCAGCACAACCTCCTCATCCTGCAGTTCTGGGCCATCCCTCCTCCAGCCCCTCCATTGCCAGTTGCTCTTTCAGCCTCCGCTGAGTCCCTGAGAGCTGGGAGTCTTGGCTGAGCTGAACTGGCCTCAAGATATTGGTGGAGCCATGTTAAAGCCTTGGGCCCTTTGAGGGTCCTAACCAGGGAGGCCAGGGTTGAGCTGGGCAGAGGGCACAGCCAGGAGCTGCCCTCCTGGGAGAGACTGGAGATTGGATTTCCCAGTAGTGCCAGAGGCCAGCTGGAGCCTCCTCCTGCCAGCTGGCAGGGGAGGAAGGGGGACAGGAAATAGGTGGCTAGGCACCTGCCCAGGCCCTACATGACAGGAGTCATTGGCATCTACACCGTGGAGTCTCTGGATGCCCACAGTGGGAGAGCGGAGCCCCAGAGGCGGGGCCCCCACCCAGCCTGGCCAGACTGACAGGGATTAACAACTCTAAAGAAAGACAGAGTTGACGGAAGGGGCACAGCCAGCTCCGGAAGCACCCTGAGGCTGACCAGGAGTGACAGCCCAGCCAGGGGCTGGCCCCAGAACAGTGCCCTTCCCAGGGCAGTGGCTGTGACCACAAAGCCAATTCCAGTCTCCTTTGCTGGGTCAGACCCTGTGTGCTCAGGGGCACTTCAGCCACCTAGCCAGGTGCCACCACCCTGCCCCCTCTCCAATTTCCCTTCTCCAAACACCAGGTTCACTCAGTGCTCAGCTGGCAGAGGTTTGCTTTCTGGGATCTTGTGCTCACTGGGAGTGCCGGCTGGTCATGCTGACCCTGGAATCCCAGGCTCTGGGTAGGTTGCTTCTCATTGAAAATGATATTTTCCCCCAGGCCTCCCTTGCCCTGTGCCCCAAGACTGCTCTGCTCAGAGCAGGTGTCGGAAGCTGGTGGGGAAAGGTGGGTATACCTGGACATTCTGGTGACCCTTGAATGGCTTGCTGGCTTCCTGGCCACTTGCTTAAGTTCCACTAGCCCCCTGGCCCATCCCTGCCTTCGACCTGCTCATCAACCGCCACTCTCCTTTGACAGATGAGGAAAGGAAACAGCCTCTGTAAGGTGGAGTGACGTGTCTGGGCCCACCCCTGCCTCACTCCACAGCAGCACGAGTCTGACTTAGATTTGAGTCCTAGCTCAACAACTTACCCGCAATGTAAATGGGCCAATGATAGCACCTATCTATTCATTCCCTTTTCTGTGAAAAGGCACCAATCAGTCCTAGAACCTGTCTAAACAATCTCATCTGTTTATGAGGCTTGGGTAGCTTGGTGTGTGCATGGCCCTGCATGCACAACACCTGGCATCCCCAGCATGGCAAAAATAAGTAAATAAAGAAATCAGTAAATCATTTATATACTTACAGTGTCCAAATTTGTCTCCAGCCTGACTTCTCCAAATTTCTGATACCACCACGTCGATGTTTAAAAGGCCTTTCAAATACAGCAGCTCGAAAATTGAACACAGCAACAACCAATAGCAACTCACTCCTGCAAAGCATCACCCTTCGGATGGACATTCTTCCCACCGCCCAGGTCCAGTGCCACTTCCCCTCCTCAGTGGCCTTCAGGGTTTTCTCTCCTTAGCGCATATCGCTGCCCTGTGTCTTTAACTTATTCATGCTGCCTGTGGTGTGTCTCTCTTTTCTAGCTTGGGCTTCTCCAGGGACGGGGACTTAGTATCTGTCTTGTTCAAGGCTGTCTCTCCAGCTTCCAGAACAGCCCCTGGGCACTGGTGTAGAGGCCCAATTCATTCATATTCATGTAAAAGACAGGAAGGGGAGGATGGGGTGGGGGAAGGGCAGGCCAGCCTTCCAGCTTGCTTCAAGGATAAAAGGAGGCATCAGGGGCTCGCTGACCCCTCTCCCAGGTCCCAGGGCTCAAGCTTGTTCAGTTGACTAGGCTTTTCCACCTCCCACCTCCAAGGTGTGTAGTTTTCAATTTGCAGGTGCCTCAGGACTTGTGTGCTGGGTGTCCACCTGGGACCATCAGACAGGTACCAGGTTAAGCCCATGTCACTGAGGGACATTCATGTTAGGGGCTCCCACCACACACCCACTTTGATCCCCCGACCCTGAAATTAAACCCAGCCTAACCAGTTCTTTTCAAACATCTAGAAATAATACACAGTGGACTGTCTTCACTCATTTTCTGTTGCTATAACAAAGCATCTGAGGCCGGGTAATTCCTCAAGAATAGAAGTTGACGCTGGAAAGTCCCTGACCATGGTGCCCACATCTCATCTCATAGGATCACCACACGGCAGGTAAAGCCACTCGCTGGTTCCCTTGTAGGGTCCCCACCCTCATGACCTCACCCAATCCTAATGACCTTCCAAGGGCCTGCTTCCAAATTTCATTAACACATGATTTGGGGGATTGGGTTTCCAGCACATGAACTTGGGGGACACAGTCAAACCCTATCGAAGGCCACCAGAGCTTCAAGAGGAGAAGGTG